TAGCTGGGGCTGCAAGCAAAGACTAACGATAGCTGGGGCTGCAAGCAAAGACTAACGATAGCTGGGGCTGCAAGCAAAGATTGAAGTCAAAATACACTTCGGACGGAAATGTATTCCCCCAAAAATTCAAAATATATAACGAGAGATCCTGTTATCTAGCTGGCAGCGGAGTGGTAAGATAACACTCTTGCTATAACGGGAGATGGTGTTATCTAGGTAATAGTGGTAAGATATCATGAGTCTTGAACAACACAGCTGTCAGGGAGTCAGAGTAGAGACATTTAATAAAGGGTCGTGTTCAGTTGTGTTTATCTTCAGGCAAAGGAATCCATCCCGCTGTTTTCTCTCTCATTAACGACGATCTATCAGTGTTGATAGATCTATCAACAGTGTCTATCAACAGTGATAGATATACCTCGAAGGCTGTGCTCGTCCAAGCTGCGACAGACTCGAAAAGCCACAAACGTAAATGCCTTTAATATATATATATATATATATATATATATATATATATATATATATATATATATATATATATATATATATATATATATATTGGTATATTTTGGTAGCAGTCTTTCCTGTAGACATATATTATTAAATATGACCGAAAAAGTAAGATTAATAATTCTAACACGAATTATATATATATATATATATATATATATATATATATATATATATATATATATATATATATATATATATATATATATATATATGTCGTACCTAGTAGCCAGAACGCACTTGTCAGCCTACTATGCGAGGCCCGATTTGCCTAATAAGCCAAGTTTTCCTGAATTAATATATTTTTTCTAATTTTTTTCTTATGAAATGATAAAGCTACCCATTTCATTACTTATGAGGTCAACTTTTTTTAATTGAAGTTAAAATTAACGTAGATATATGACCGAACCTAACCAACCCTACCTAACCTAACCTAACCTATCTTTATTGGTTAGGTTAGGTTAGGTTGCCGAAAAAGTTAGGTTAGGTTAGGTTAGGTAGGTTAGGTAGTCGAAAAATAATTAATTCATGAAAACTTGGCTTATTAGGCAAATCGGGCCTTGCATAGTAGGCAGAGAAGTGCGTTCTGGCTACTAGGTACGACATATATATATATATATATATATATATATATATATATATATATATATATATATATATATATATATATATATATGTCGTACCTAGTAGCCAGAACGCACTTTTCGGCCTACTATGCAAGGCCCGATTTGCCTAATAAGCCAAGTTTTCCTGAATTAATATATTTTCTCTAATTTTTTTCTTATGAAATGATAAAGCTACCCATTTCATTATGTATGAGGTCAATTTTTTTTATTTGAGTTAAAATTAACGTAGATATATGACCGAACCTAACCAACCCTACCTAACCTAACCTAACCTATCTTTATATGTTGGGTTAGGTTAGGTAGCCGAAAAAGTTAGGTTAGGTTAGGTTAGTCGAAAAACAATTAATTCATGAAAACTTGGCTTATTAGACAAATTGGGCCTTGCATACTAGGCTGAGAAGTGCGTTCTGGCTACTAGGTACGACATATATATATATATATATATATATATATATATATATATATATATATATATATATATATATATATATATATATATATATTATATATATATATATATATATATATATATATATATATATATATATTATATATATATATATATATATATATTATATATATATATATATATATATATATATATATATATATATATATATATATATATATATATGTCGTACCTAGTAGCCAGAACTCACTTCTCAGCCTACTATTCAAGGCCCGATTTGCCTAATAAGTCAAGTTTTCCTGAATTAATATATTTACTATAATTTTTTTCTTATGAAATGATAAAGCTACCTTTTCACTATGTATGAGGTCAATTTTTTTTTATTGGAGTTAAAATTAACGTAGATATATGACCGAACCTAACCAACCCTACCTAACCTAACCTAACCTATATATATAGGTAAGGTTAGGTTAGGTAGCCAAGAAAAGCTAGGTTAGGTTAGGTTAGGTAGGTTAGGTAGACGAAAAAACATTAATTCATGAAAACTTGGCTTATTAGGCAAATCGGGCCTTGCATAGTAGGCTGAGAAGTGAGTTCTGGCTACTAGGTACGACATATATATATATATATATATATATATTAAAGCCGGAATCATACCTGGAGAATACCTGGATAGGGTTTCGGGAGTTCTTCTACTCCCCGAGCCCTGCCTGAGGCTAGGGTTGACTTGCGATAACTTGGTCCACCAGGCTGTTGCTTGGAGCGGCCCGCAGGCCCACATATCCACCACAGCCCGGTTGGTCCGGCACTTCTTGCAAGAACTTATTTAAGTGCCTCTTGAATACATCCACTTTTGTTCTAGCAACATTTCTAATGCTTGCTGGGAGGATGTTGAACAGCTGTGGACCTCTGATGTTCAGACAATGTTCTCTGATTGTGCCTATTGCACATTGGTTCTATTCTATTCTATTCTACTCCTCATTGGTTCTATTCTGCATTTCCTTCCGTACCTTTCGCTCCAGTACGTTGTTATTCTACTGTGCAAATTTGGGACCTGGCCCTCCAGTATCTTCCATGTGTATATTATTTGATATCTTTCTCGTCTCCTTTCTAGTGAGTACATTTTTAAGAGCTTTGAGACGGTCCCAATAGTTTAGGTGATTTATCGTGTGTATGCGTGCCGTATATGTTCTCTGTATTGCCTGAATTTCAGCAATCCTTCCAGCTCTGAAGGAGGAAGTGAGTACTGAGCAGTACTCAAGACAGGATAGCAGCAGTGATTGAAATAGTATTAGCATTGCTGTGGGGTCTCTGGATTCGAAAGTTCTCATAATCCATGAGAATTATGAAGGAATGAATTATGGAGGAATAATTATGGAATTATGAATTATTTCATAATTCCATAATCCATGGAATTATGAAATATTATCATATTTCCCAGGTCCTTTACATGGTTAGTATTGGTTAGGCATTTTGGTTCGATTGGCTATCTATATCTATGAGTGATTATGTCTATCGGTTTGTCTGTCGAAAGTTAGAGGCCAGATGCTGTCCAGCGGCTTCGCCCAACTTTGCAGAGGGAGTGGTCTGGTGTACAGGGCGGTCATAGGCTAGTCGGGGTCGCTATTATTCAAGAGAGAACAGCATTCTAGGGTCACAAATTGGCCCCCACGACGCTTGTTGGCACTCCCGGCCGGCTACATGTAGCCAAGTATTTTGAAAAAAAAAAATCATTATTCACTGATCTACAGAAAATTAACAGGGATTTTCTGCTAACCATAATTTGGTCATAGGACCATAAAACCCAGCTACAACACAGCCCCTCCCTCTCCTCCTCCTCCCCCTTCCCTGTACGCCCTCCAACCGTAGGTAGTCCCGCCTATCCTTCCACCGACTGATTCAGAGCCATTTAACCCGTCCTCTTAATAGAACGTCGCAATTTTGACGTATACTCCACCTAAGGCCAAAATTCGCCATACTAGAAAATGGCAGCGGCTCGCGAATTTGACACACTGTCCCGTTTTCTGTTTTGCGTTCTCTGGTAGGTTAGGATAAGGGCAATTATAAGGGCATAAATACACCTACTTCACACTTGGAATGGTTTAGGAAGAGACCCAGGCGTCCTGCTCCCTTAGTTTTCCTATGTCTTCCAAGAGGTGGTCTAGGGGAGGGGGGCAGCTATAGTGCCTTCGTCCAAAAAACCAGGTGTTGAACTTGCTGGACAAGCTTTCAATGATTTCTTTTAAGACTAAGCAGAAAAGAAGTGGAGCAAGAGGATCACCTTGCTGAACACCTTCACATGATCTGATTTCGTGTTCGAAATCAAATCAAGACAGAATGAACGCGTAGAGGGGCCTGAAATGGCGGCACAGAGCACTGCATCTCTTCTGACCATGTTAAAGGCATTCTTGAAGTCCAGTTTGAGTAGGGCCTTTTCGTCAGAAATGTTGGTGATGTATGCTCCTGCTGCATGGGCAGCCGCTTCACAGCCTTGGGGGATCCCAAATCCTAGCTGAATTGGTTTCAGCAATTCAGCCGCTTGCTGGCTGACAACCCTCGTAGCAGCCTTGGCAATCAGGCGTCGGAGAGTGTTGCCAACAGCGATTGGCCTGATCCCCCCCCCCAATCCTTCTTGTTGAGAGCACAGAGGGAGGCACCAAAAAACATGGGCCTGATGACCTCAGGTATCTCACCAGCCAGGCACACCTTGACGAACCTTGTGAGTTCCACAAGAAGATCTTGTGCAGCGTCACCAACTTCAGGATTTAACATTTGCTTGATGTGTTGAGGTTTTAATCCTGTAAAGCCGCCTACTGACCCAGGTGGAAAATTAAGGGCTGCTTTGTAGACCTCAGATTCACAGTTAATGGGTCTGAAATGGTCTCGCCTGGTGGCGGTACGATGTTGTTGACTCCTGAGGCTCTGTGTGGGTGCTTTCCTTGCAGGGCCCGTGCTGTGGCAGAGTTTCTAGCAGCAATTTTCTCGTCACTGGTGAGGACTCGAATAGCACTTGCAGGATTTCTATCTTTAATTTTCTTGGTGATTTGTGCTCTGATTTTGTACGTTTCCGATGTGTTGAAGTTACCATTTCTGCGATGGTTGTGTTTTGTACGAAGAGGCAGGCGAACTGGGTTATCCCCCTTCCCTTAGGTATTCATTTAGCACCCTAATGACGTAGCTCTTGTAGCTCTTGGGCCCCACCACTGTTGAGTTGTAGCTCTTGGGCCCAACCACTGTTGAGTTGTAGCTCTTGGGCCCCACCACTGTTGAGTTGTAGCTCTTGGGCCCCACCACTGTTGAGTTGTAGCTCTTGGGCCCAACCACTGTTGAGTTGTAGCTCTTGGGCCCCAGTGGCACGAGTCAGTCACTACGTGGGCTCCTACCGTATAAAGTCTCTGCAACAGTGCAAGCCTCTTGCAATTTACCTGCAAGTTGTTATGACTTGCAAGACCGGGAAAATGGCAAGTGGGTTGATTGAGTGGAAGAGCAGAGTAATGAAGGAGCCGCAGAGTGGAAGGAAGCCACACTTATGATCCATTAGTCTCTTGCTACTGGCTTGCTGCTTCGGGTCGCCACTCCAGCTGGGAATATCGGGTTAGTTATGGTATAATAAGGTGAACCATTGTTACGGTGTATTGCAGGGTGAGTGGAGAGGGCCTCCAGGACCAGAGTGTGGCTGCGTGCACGCTCGCACGCACGCTCGCATGCACGCACACGCATGTACACACACGCACACACACGCTCGCACATACACACACACACATGCACACGCACGCTTGCACACGTATTCACACACGGACGCTTGCACACGCGAGCGTCCGTGTGCGAGCGAGAAAAATGGAATGCACTTAAGGAACAGGTTGTGGAAGCAAACTCTATTCATAAATTTAAAATTAGGTATGATAGGGAAATGGGACAGGAGTCATTGCTGTAAACAACCGATGGCTGGAAAGGCGGGATCCAAGAGCCAATGCTCGATCCTGCAAGCACAAATAGGTGAGTACACACACACACACACACACACACACACACACACACACACACACACACACACACACACACACACACACACACACACACACACACACACACACACACTGAGTGTGTGTGTGTGGAGATTGAGTACCCACATGAGCCACAGGGACGTTAGAAAGAACTTTTTCAGTGTCAGAGTAGAAACAGATGGAATGCATTAGGCAGTGATGTGGTGGAGGCTGACTCCATACACAGTTTCAAATGTAGATATGATAGAGCCCAGTAGGCTCAGGAACCTGTTCACCAGTTGATTGACAGTTGAGAGGCGGGACCAAAGAGCCAGAGCTCAACCCCCGCAAGCACAACTAGATGAGTACACACACACACAAATATATATAAATATATATATATAATATATTTATAATATATATATGTATATATAATATGTATATATATATATATATATATATATATATATATATATATATATATATATATATATATATATATATATATATATATATATATATATATATAATGAAGGGAGTACCACCTCTGGCTGGAAGAAGGGGGACCCTTAGCCTCGGAGGAAACCACACATTTGAGGGAATGTTTAGATCCCCTCCAATACAGGTTCTGTGCGCTTTTCTCCTACCACCCCCTTCCTTATGTGTGTTTTTTTGGTGCTTTATTATATGTATTTAAAGGTTACAAGATATACATTGGTTGATACAAAGAATGCCTAAAGGTTATGGATCTCTTGGAGCTCCTCCGCTTCCGGACAGGAACCGAGGACGCAGCAGGCCTTTCCCCTCTGGATCGCCACACTGAGACGCTGAAACAAAAAAACTGGAAGCCCTTGGGTCTCTGGTGACGTCAATGAGCTTGGACCCCAATTCCTTGAGAAATTCCAAGGCACTCTTGCCCCAGGGGCTATTGTATATATATATATCACAATTGTAATATAAGGAGGCCAATACCTTATAATCATTCGAACTCTGCCTTTGACAATGTAAAGAGTTTACATTGTGAGCAGCCGCGTCTAACAACCTGGTTGACCAGTCCAGCAACCAGGAGGCCTGGTCGAGGACAGGGCCGCGGGGGACGTTGAGCCCCGAAATCATCGCGAGGCCTCAGGCCAAGCTCGGGGGAGGAGGAGAACTCCTGAAACCCTGTTCAGGTAGACCAGTCAGTCGCAGACCCAAGGAGCTGTAATTCAGCCCTCCACAAGAGCACTTAAGTGAGTAAAGTAGCGACTTATAATCCCCCCTCTTCCTTCCCCACTTTCACACTTACTAAAGTGTTCTCGCTGGGAACAAAGCCCCACACAGTCTGGCTCTATTCCTCTATGCCTTATACCCGACACAACAGCCTGCTCTATCACCTCTCTTGGCTCCATCCTTACCCCCCCCCCCGCGGCAAGGACCAACCACCGCTAAGCCCCCCCCTCCCCATCACCGCCCCCCCCCGCCCCCCTAACAACTCATTTGGAACGCCAACTTTTTTTTGTAGGTGGGGGGAGGGGGGGGAATTGCGTCTTGCTAATTGCGGCACTAAATTCGCGCTCTGGCTCTGCGGGAGCCGCATTTGCCGCATTTTTGGCAGGTCGTGTGTGTGTGAGGATATAGACCGCGGCTGATAATGAATGAACACGAGACTTTTGGTTGGGAAATGTGTTAATGGCAGTTAGTTTAGTGTACGATGGCAGGGGGGGGGTTGTGGGAGGGGGAGGGAGGTGTTGTGGGAGGGGGGGAGGTGTTGTGGGAGGGGGGGAGGTGTTGTGGGAGGGGGGGAGGTGTTCTGGGAGGGGGGAAGGTGTTGTGGGAGGGGGGGGGTTGTGGGAGGGGGGGGGTTGTGGGAGGGGGAGGGAGGTGTTGTGGGAGGGGGGAAGGTGTTGTGGGAGGGGGGGAGGTGTTGTGGGAGGGGGGGAAGGTGTTGTGGGAGGGGGGGAGGTGTTGTGGGAGGGGGGGAGGTGTTGTGGGAAGAGGGGGAGGTGTTGTGGGAGGGGGGGAGGTGTTGTGGGAAGGGGGGAGGTGTTGTGGGAGGGGGGGAGGGGGTAGAAGGAGAGGGAGTGAGAGATGGAGGGGGGAGGGGGTGTTGTGGGAGGGGGGGGAGGGGGTAGAAGGAGAGGGAGTGAGAGATGGAGGGGGGGGGGAGAAGAGGTAATGTTTCAAGCAGACCAGATTCCTGAAAAGGACTTCATTGTAAACTGCCTCCCAAGTATTTTTTTGGGTATACTGTGGTAAACTGACTCTAAATAAACTATCTGTGTGAGTTTGACTAATTTCGAAGTAAACTCTGTATGAGTTAACTTGTTAAGTAAACTGTTCCTGGTAATACTTTTGTGTTAACTCCTTTCACTACACAGTAAACTTCAGACCTCAGGACCGAAGCTGAGAGTTTTAAAGACCTCAGGACCGAAGCTGAAAGTTTTAAAGACCTCAGCACCGAAGCTGAGAGTTTTAAAGACCTCAGGACCGAAGCTGAGAGTTTTAAAGACCTCAGGACCGAAGCTGAGAGGTTTAAAGACCTCAAGAACGAAGCTAAGAGTTTTAAAGACCTCAAGAACGAAGCTAAGAGTTTTAAAGACCTCAAGAACGAAACTAAGAGTTTTAATGACCTCAAGAACGAAGCTAAGAGTTTTAAAGACCTCAGGACCGAAACTAAGAGTTTTAAAGACCTGAGGACCGAGGTCAAGACTTTTGAAGACCTCAGATCCGAAGTCAAGACGTTTAAACAACATCTAAGTGCAAGATGCCCCCACCAACAGCCCAGTAGATCCATCACGCTCACACACCATACCTAACTTTGAGGGTTACCTTGAGATGGTCCCGAGGATCAACCTCCCAGCGGCCCGGTCTCTGACCAGGCCTCCTGTTAGGGTGGTCAGGACAATCAGGCTGTTATACGTCGCAACTTGCAGTCTGCCGTATGTGCAACCAATCTTAAAATATGTAACCAAGTCCATTTATAAATTACTAGACGTAATTCCTTGATCAATAACGTAATGTAGAAATCGCGAGGATTCGAACCTCAGACGGATCAACTCGTCCTCCTACCAGAACGACGTAATTTTGACGTATACTCCACCTAAGGCCAAAAATTGTCGTACTAGGAAATGAAAACGGCTGGTGAAAGTGACGTACTGTCCCGTTTTCTGTTTTGGGTTCTCTGGTAGGTTAGGATAAGGGGGGCACTGTGGTACGACTGTTTCTTGACGTTTGGTGGGACCTTAAGAGGACGGGCTGGATGGATCGCCACGGCAAGAACAAATATGACTTAAGCGATTGGTAAGTCAATATTTTAAGTCAGTATGGGGTGAACACGTCCTCCAGTTTTGTGTGAACATGTTCAGTGTGTTCAGTGGCTCATTGAACACCGGAGTCGTACCAGCGAAGGGTTCGTATCCCTGGTGAGTGAGGCTCAGATACTCAAGGTGTTTCATTTTTGTATTAGCTGTACCCGGCCACGCGGTGCTGTGGCTCAGCATCGCTTATAATGTCTCCAGTGTCATGATTTTCGGCAACCTCAGAGTGTTGTGACTCCACCACCAACCCCACAACACCACCACCAACCCCACAACACCACCACCAACCCCACAACACCACAACCACCACCACCAACCCCACAACCACCACCACCAACCCCACAACCACCACCACCAACCCCACAACACCACCACCAACCCCGCAACACCACAACCACCACCACCAACCCCACAACACCACAACCACCACCACCAACCCCACAACACCACAACCACCACCACCAACCCCACAACACCACAACCACCCCACAACACCACCCCCACAACACCACAACACCACCACCAACCCCACAACACCACAACCACCACCACCAACCCCACAACACCACCACCAACCCCACAACACCACAACCACCACCACCAACCCCACAACACCACAACCACCACCACCAACCCCGCAACACCACAACCACCACCACCAACCCCACAACCACCACCACCAACCCCACAACACCACCACCAACCCCACAACACCACCACCAACCCCACAACACCACAACCACCACCACCAACCCCACAACCGCCACAACCCACCACAACCAACCCCACAACACCACAACCACCACAACCCACCACAACCAACCCCACAAACAACCCCACAACACCACAACACAACAACCACCACCACCAACCCCACAACACCACAACCACCACAACCCACCACAAACAACCCCACAACACCACAACCACCACCACCAACCCCACAACACCACAACCACCACAACCCACCACAAACAACCCCACAACACATCTGGCATAGAGAACAATTTCCTTGTAATATTCATTGTTGACACAATTCATGATATAAGCTTAGGCCTAAAAACCTAGGCGCAAACATGAATGCAAAATGTTAACTCTTGACAAATCTTTTAATGAGGCTTAATTCAGGACATTAAGCATATTATCTACTATTGAATGAGGTATATTGAAACTACTGTAGGGCTCTAATTATGCAAATTAAGTCAAAAATGCATTAAAAAGGACAGGGTCGTTTAATCTCTGGTTGACATTAGGTCGTTTACCGGACGATTGGGGTCGTGCCTTAGCTCCTGGGCCAGTTCTAGCAAGTTCATGGCGGCTGATGTTGGTTATAATAGTGATGAAGGGAACTACCTTGAGGTTACCTTGAGGTGCTTCCGGGGCTTAGTGTCCCTGCGGCCCGGTCGTCGACCAGGCCTCCTGGTTGCTGGACTGATCAACCAGGCTGTTAGACGCGGCTGCTCGCAGCCTGACGTATGAGTCACAGCCTGGAAACACAGACCTTTACTGGGCGCCTTTGTTGGGTATGAGTTTTCTGCTTGATTGTATAAGCTATTGCTAGTAATGGGTTTCTAACTTGATTGTATAAGCTATTGCTAGTAATGGGTTTCTAACTTGATTGTATAAGCTATTGCTGGTAATGGGTCTCTAACTTGATTGTATAAGCTATTGCTGGTAATGGGTCTCTAACTTGATTGTATAAGCTATTGCTGGTAATGGGTCTCTAACTTGATTGTATAAGCTATTGCTAGTAATGGGTTTCTAACTTGATTGTATAAGCTATTGCTAGTAATGGGTTTCTAACTTGATTGTATAAGCTATTGCTGGTAATGGGTCTCTAACTTGATTGTATAAGCTATTGCTGGTAATGGGTCTCTAACTTGATTGTATAAGCTATTGCTAGTAATGGGTTTCTAACTTGATTGTATAAGCTATTGCTGGTAATGGGTTTCTAACTTGATTGTATAAGCTATTGCTAGTAATGGGTTTCTAACTTGATTGTATAGGCTATTGCTAGTAATGGGTTTCTAACTTGATTGTATAGGCTATTGCTAGTAATGGGCTTCTAACTTGATTGTATAAGCTATTGCTAGTAATGGGTTTCTAACTTGATTGTATAGGCTATTGCTAGTAATGGGTTTCTAACTTGATTGTATAAGCTATTGCTAGTAATGGGTTTCTAACTTGATTGTATAGGCTATTGCTAGTAATGGGTTTCTAACTTGATTGTATAAGCTATTGCTAGTAATGGGTTTCTAACTTTATTGTATAAGCTATTGCTAGTAATGGGTTTCTAACTTGATTGTATAAGCTATTGCTGGTAATGGGTTTCTAACTTGATTGTATAGGCTATTGCTAGTAATGGGTTTCTAACTTGATTGTATAAGCTATTGCTAGTAATGGGTTTCTAACTTGATTGTATAGGCTATTGCTAGTAATGGGTTTCTAACTTGATTGTATAAGCTATTGCTAGTAATGGGTTTCTAACTTGATTGTATAAGCTATTGCTAGTAATGGGTCTCTAACTTGATTGTATAAGCTATTGCTAGTAATGGGTTTCTAACTTGATTGTATAAGCTATTGCTAGTAATGGGTTTCTAACTTGATTGTATAGGCTATTGCTAGTAATGGGTTTCTAACTTGATTGTATAAGCTATTGCTAGTAATGGGTTTCTAACTTGATTGTATAAGCTATTGCTAGTAATGGGTTTCTAACTTGATTGTATAAGCTATTGCTAGTAATGGGTTTCTAACTTGATTGTATAAGCTATTGCTAGTAATGGGTTTCTAACTTGATTGTATAAGCTATTGCTAGTAATGGGTTTCTAACTTGATTGTATAGGTTATTGCTAGTAATGGGTTTCTAACTTGATTGTATCGGCTATTGCTAGTAATGGGTTTCTAGCTATATTGTACAGGCTATTTGCTAGTTTCCAACTAGTCTGTATAGACCATCTTTAAACTTTAGCATTTTTTTTAATTAGGCCTCACACAGATGACACTATAATTTGTGTGAGAGCTGACAATATAGAAGGTGATTATAGAGGACGTAATATAGGATGTGATTATAGAGGGCGTAATATAGGATGTGATTATAGAGGACGTAATATAGGATGTGATTATAGAGGACGTAATATAGGATGTGATTATAGAGGACATAATATAGGATGTGATTATAGAGGACATAATATAGGATGTGATTATAGAGGACGTAATATAGGATGTGATTATAGAGGACATAATATAGGATGTGATTATAGAGGACATAATATAGGATGTGATTATAGAGGACATAATATAGGATGTGATTATAGAGGACATAATATAGGATGTGATTATAGAGGACGTAATATAGGATGTGATTATAGAGGGCATAATATAGGATGTGATTATAGAGGACGTAATATAGGATGTGATTATAGAGGACGTAATATAGGATGTGATTATAGAGGACGTAATATAGGATGTGATTATAGAGGACGTAATATAGAATGTGATTATACACGATACGATAAGTTCCAGCTCCTGGGCTGTGGACAATACGAAAATATAATAAACGGAAGCCCTTGGCAAGATTCCGGGAGTAGAAGAACTCCCGAAACCATCAAATGAACAAATTTAATTGTTCCTCAAATGAACAAATCCATAAGGGCCGTGACGAGGGCTCGAACGTTAAAAATCCTGGTTTGTGTCTCGGAGTGGCTGCAGGATCCAAGTAAGTTCATTAGAACTTCTGGTTGCAATTCTTTTAACCATGTCGTAGCTCAGTCGATTAAGGCAGCGTCTGGGATGCTCTCGGACGCAGGTTCGAACCCTCGTCACGGCCCTTGTGGATTTGTTCAAACTCCAGGTATGTCCCACGTATAAAACACAGTCAAATAACACTTTAGGACGAAAAATAATGTGAATGATCTGGGAGTAATCATGTCGGAAGACCTGACCTTAAAAGGTCTTTACTCCTTACCTTTACTGCTAGAATCCACTCAATAAAGCATATAAATTATTGGATGTTTTATTGAGTGAAATATTAGGTGAGTAAATTATTTTAAAATCTTTAAATCTGTATTCTCTTGAGCGCAGGCGGGAGAGATACATAATAATTTACACGTGGAAAATATTAGAGGGGCTGGTCCCAAACCTGCACACAGAAATAACATCACATGAGACCAGAAGGCATGGCAGGATGTGCAGAATATCCCCGTTGAAGAGCAGAGGTGCAACAGGTACTCTGAGAGAGAACTATCAACATCAGAGGCCCGAGACTGTTCAACACGCTTCCACTACACATAAGGGACATAACTGGCCGACCCCTCACAGTGTTCAAGAGAGAACTATCAACATCAGAGGCCCGAGACTGTTCAACACGCTACCACTACACATAAGGGACATAACTGGCCGACCCCTCACAGTGTTCAAGAGAGAACTTGATAAATATCTCCAAAAAATACCTGATCAACCAGGCTGTGACTCATACGTCAGAGACCAGGCTGAGAGGGACA